GTGGGAGCACCTTGTTAAAACCTGGCGAGAGTGGAAGAATAGGTCACCAGTTTGTCTTTGTTGGTGGGGCTTCACTTTTTCCTTGGGCGCGTGGCTAGAATAGAGTGGTTTTGTCTAAAAATTTTCTGTCTTCCTGGGCTGCCACTTTCCTGGTTCTTTGGCTAGAGAGAGCATGCCTTTCTTGGGGTTCCTTTTTGTCTGTTCCTGTTGGCGTTTCCAGATTGTCGACTTCTCTAGCAACCACCTGTGGTAGATGAAGCAAAAGAAAACTTACGGCCCCTTGGATTCTGAGATTTCTAGCTGGTCTGCAATCTTTTGTCCACTTTTCACTCTTCTTTTGTTTATTGTGTATATAATATACATTAATATAAAATGTTTATTTTATATATGACGTTCAGAGTTTTTAGCTATATTTGGCAGAAGGAATAGGGGAAAGTACGTCTACTCTATCAGTAGTGATGTCCCTTGCCTGTTTTAAAAATTGATTTAGTGTATTAATATTTTTAATTATGAAAATTTAAAAGCATGCACAAAAGTGGAGAAAATTGTGTAATCCAGCTTCAATAGTTACCAACATTCTCCCATTTTTGTTTCATCTATTCCAAATGCACAAACACATCCACACACCCACACACCCACACACCCATATACCCATACTCACTACCCCTGACACATACTTATTCCTGGAGTATTTTAAAATAAATCTCAGACATAATTTCTGTTTACCTAAAAATGCTAAGTATCCCTGACAGATAAGAACTTTTAAAAAAATTATACCCACAATATCATTATTCTACAAAAAAACCCCAGTAATTATTTTATATCACCTATTCATTCATTTGAATCATGATCCAAACAAGGTCCACCCTTGCTATAAAACTTTTAATTCCTAACTGTTCCCTGCCTTTCTTCCTCTCATGCTATTTATTATTTGAAAAAACTAGGTCATTTTCCAATAATTTTTCCCACTTGTTGGATTTGCCTTACTTATATTCTTACAGAATATGTACCTTCATTCCTTTATCTCTTGCAACCTGGCTGGTGGGTCTAGAGGCTTAATTAGACTTAGGTGTAGATTTCTGTTAATAGTTTTAAATAGGTGGTGCTGTGTGGTGCACCATGTTAGGCTGCACATAATATGTCTGGTTTTCAGTCTTAGTGTTAAGATTGATTTAGAAGGCTCAGGTGTCGTCAGCCTGATTGAGCCATTATTAAATTCTTCAGCAACATCTTTTTCTTGTGGCTTTAGCACTTGTGATCCTTTGTTTCATTAGGGGCTCAAAATGGTGATTATTTTCCTGTCATTCCTTTGGCATTTATTACCTGGAATTCTTCTATGAAGAATAATTTTGATTCATCAACTATTTGGTTAACTTGCAATACAATTTGTACAAAAAAGTGCAGGATAAATGGTTGATTCTTCTCTTTTATTATTTCCAGAATAACTAGTTTAGTACCCTAGCAACATCCAGGAGGTGACTAATGATTTTCTTTGTATCATTTGAACTCAGATTTTTAGAGAATAATTCATTGTTTCATCTTTGGTTAATGGGAACTTTTTCAAGTTGCTCTGGGTCCTTTAGAATCAAGCCCAGAAGCCTTTACTAAGATCCTTGTTCTATAGTATAATAGAATGTTCCAAGTTCATCTTACACATTTTGTGCCCCGGACCTTGAATTACCAATTTCTTTAAGGAGCTGTTGTTCCTTGCAGTGGGAGATGGTATTTAGACACCACAATATGTCCCTGGACTGTCATTGCTTACTGGTCTTTTATTGCTTGTGAGCTCTTTCAGTGCATAGGTCATTTAAAAGAAAATAAGCGTGAGCTCACACATATTTTCAATTTAAATTTAAAATGATAGATTTTCTTAATTTAAGAATTTATTTGGTTTTATACTCTATTAAATGCTGAAATACTTTCCTCCTAACAATATTGATGTAACTACTTGTTTTAAAAATGTTATTGCTAATGTTATGACCCACAATAAGAGTACTACCTGTTGAAGATATACAGTCAAAATACATTGTTTTAAGGTCAGTCAGAATACTTGTTTTCTTTTGTGGTTGTGATTCCAACTTGATATATAGCAAGGTTTGTTTGTTTCAGTTTTAATTTTGAAGAATTGATTAAGTGTTTTAAAATTGATTTTTAACAATTTTATTGAGATATAATTCACATACCATACAATTCACCCATTTACATTTTACATACAATTCAACAGTTTTTATAATATATTCACAAATATGTGTGACCATCACCACAGTCAATTTTAGAATATTTTCATCACCTCAAAAAGAAATCCCATACCTTTTATTATTAGCCCCTCTATTCCTTCATTCCTCCCAGTGCTAAGAAACTAATTTACTCTCTCTCTGTTCTGAATACTTCAGGTGAATGGACTCCTCAATATGTGGTCTTTTGAGACTGGCTTATATTATTTAACATAATGTTTTTGAGGTTTTTCCATGTCTCTGTGACCCAAGTGGGTGCTTCAGCCTCACTCCATGTTCTGGTATTTTCACAAAGGTGTCCTGTTTATGGATAGTTTCTAGTTAGTCTTTTTGTGAGGGAGGTAGAAATTGTCAACCATCTCTTCCATCCTCTTGGTGCTATCACTTCCTATATTATTTTATATTGTAATAATTTTGTGTATTATCTGTCTTGTTTATATGTCTTTTGTGCTTTTTTCTAAAATTTCTTTTGGCATTTAGGAAGGTTTATCTTTATGTTCAATAGTTTTCTTTGTATATGCCCTTTCTAATGCCTACATTAGGTATCTATTGCTGTATAACAAATTACCCAAATATTAATAGCTTGAAACAATGGTTGTTTGTTTTCTCACAGTTCCTATGGGTCAGGAATCTAGGTGTGGCTTAGCTGCATGCTTCCTACTCAGCGTCTCTCACGTATTTCCAGTTGAGCTGTTGTCTAGGACACATTGATCTCAAGTCTCAACTGGGGCTGGCAAGTCTGCCTTCGAGCTCATTTACATCGTTGTTGACAGGCCGCAGAAGATCCACTTCCAAGCTTACTCATGTCATTGCTGACAGACTTTGGTTCCTCACCACATAGGCCTCTCTGTAGTCTTCCTGAGTGTCCTCACAATGTGGCAGCTGATGATCTGAGAGACCCAGACAGTGCAAGAGATGGAACCAAGCCTCTGTATAACTAATCTCAGAAGTGGCATCCATCACTTGTGTTTTATTGTATTTGTTAGAATACCTAAGTACAGCCACACTAAAGGGAGGCAGATGACACAAATGCATGAGTGCTTGCAAGCAAGTGTCATGGTCTGTCATCATAAGTTCTATCATAAGTTCATAAACCCTCCTTTATTCTCTCTAGTTAAAGGTTTTGACTCCTACTTAGTTCTTATACAATTCTTAATGAGCTTATTCTACTTTTGGATTTTTTTCTCTTTTTTTCCTTTCATTTTATAATTGCATTCTTTCTATTTTGTCATAAAATATAATATTTAAATTCTATTCTTTTCCTTGTATCCTCAACTTCATTTTAATCTTAGCTTTATAATTAACTACATGAAATATTCATTGTCAGGCCTTTTGCTGGGTTTCCAGTCACCTTTTGGTTGAGTGAAGCCTACGCTCTAGTAGACTCCTCAGGAAAGGAACATCTTTACAACAGCTTCTGAGTTTTTGCATGTTCAAACTCCCTTTTCTGTAACCTTGATAATTGAAGGAGAACTTTGCTGCATATAAAACTCTTGGCACACACTTGTTAAAGTTTTTGGAAAATGTTGCTTCTCTGTTTTTCCATTTGACAAGTAGCTTTTTCAAAGCCCAATGACATCTCATTCTCATGCCTTGTAAGTTATTTTACTTTTTTGCCTGTAGGTTATGAGAAGTTTTAAAAATCCTTTGAAGTCTAATAGTTTTGCTCTGACTCAGAGTTGATCATTCTGGGTCAGTTTTGTTGGATACCCACGGATCTCTTTTGGTTGTATGCTTTTATTTCTAAAAAATTTTCTTGGATTTTAGTTTTGAATCTTAGTTCCTTCTGGTACTTAATTTTCATCTTTATGGGCTCCAGTAATAGCATGTTGCACCTTCTTTGACTGTCTTCTATTTCAATCATTTGTACTCTAATATTTTTTCCTTTGAAAAAAATTTATATTAATTTTTTTGGGTATTTTACTACTTTATTTCCGTGTACATTTTCATTCAAATCTGTTTTCCTTTATGCGCCTCTTTCCCATCCATTTTGGTCTAGTAATGCCTTACTGTCTTGTGAACTTTTTAATGACTTTAGGTTTTTAAAATTTGACATTGTATTCAGCATTTTTAGTTAGAGTTTTTAAAATTTCTTAGTTTTGTTTTGGTAAAGGGTTGAATAACCTAACCTGCTATTACTGAAAGCAGAAATCCCTACTTAGTAATAAAAGGGCCCCTCAAAGTTGCTAGAAGTATAAAGAAGGATATGCAAAGGAGATGTTATATTTCTTTGATTTGGAGATATCTGGGTGGCTGTTTAATGCTTTGTTTATGACCAAGCTCCACAACTTTCCCAGAAACTTCCTATTTCCCATCTTATCTCATGCTGCCTTCTTTTCATCTGTGCCCAGCTATGAAGACATAAAGCCTTATGTTTTTTATGTTTGAAGGTTATCATGAGAGACAATTGTCCAGCAGATAAAATAGCAAATTATGAAGTATATTTATTGAGCAGTGTTTACTTATCTGGGGAAGATAAAAGTGGCAAAATATAAGAACTGCCTATATTTCCATGTCTTCTGTGAGCTTTGTCCAGAATCACTTGGTTTGCCTAAAAAGGATTATAAACTTTGGGATAAGGCTAAATCTAGACGAGTTACATGGTAGACTCCTTTGGTTAAGGCATTTGTTCCAAGCATTTGATATCCTTTTGAAGATCAGTATTTTTAAACCTTCCTATATTTAAAAAAGTATAAAAATAAAAAAATTTGTGACCTGTATGCAGGAATTAATTGTATTTGTTCTAAAACTTTTTTTCACTCTTAGGCAAGCAAAGGAAATCACTAAAAATGACAAGCAGGCGACTTGAAGAGTCCATGGGGGCTGTTCAAATGGGGTTAGTCAGAATGCTTAAAGGATTCCAAAGCAAGGTTTTGCCACCCCTGAGTCCTAAGGTGGTTACAGAAGAAGAAGTAAACCAAATGGTAATGTATCAGAGAATTTCATACTTAATACTTAGTAAGGTAACATACTTAATGCAGTCTCCTCAGGAGAATGATACCTGCTAATTGGTATTAGCAGAATATCAGAGAATTACTGCCTGACAATATAAAGTTAGGTAACATTCTGGCTTGTTACAGAGCATGGATACCTCTTAAAGCCTCAGAAGGTTTTGAAATTACGTATATTGTGAAAGAGGCTTGAATTGCTTAAGTTAACTGAAGTAGGACTATGCAATCAAATTACTAGGTTTTCTAAATACTTAGTTGAATTCTATGAAACTGTCATTTGTGTGCTTCAAAAACAATCAAGTATCATAATGTTATTGTATCTAAACAATCTATTGATTGGCAAGAGTTATTTTTGTTTGTATATTTGTGGAATATAAAAATATTAAAATAATGACTATATTGTAGGAAAATATGTAACTTTTCTTTAAAATAAAATATATATTTTAATTTTTAAATCATAGTTGACATACAACATTAAAAATATTGTTAATGAATTATAATAATTTGGTGAGAATTGAATTATAAATTACATGATATGGAAAATATCAACACTTTATAGTATTAGATATAGTATTCACTGCATTTTAAAAACTAGTCTCAAGTTACATTTCAATTAGAAAAATAAAATCTATTATTATTCTCTTTTGTGGTGGTTATTATTTCATATTTAAGGTAACTCCTGACTTTTTTGACTGTAATATTTTGTTATTTTTATTTAAATCACAATGGAGCTGATATCTCATTAACATTTTGGTATTCTAATCTGGGTTCCAATTTTTTAAAAAACTTAAAAAACCAAGTTGGAAGTTATATTAGAAATGTGCCTTCATTTAAATTGATTCAATCACAAAAAATAATTTTGTAGGGAATTTGAAAAGCATTGATTTTAACCCAGTGCAAAACGAATGAGCTAAATTATATTCCTCTGATTGTTTTCCAAAGTCTTGGCACCTACTGAAGCCTTATATTGCTGCCAGTGATCATAATCTCCTTGCCTCTAAAGTAGGCCCTTGATGATGGAAATGTTCTGCATCTTGAATGTATCATTGTCAATATCTTGGTAGTGATACTGTGCTATATAGTTTTGCAAGACACTATTCTTGGGGAAACTGGGCAAATGGTTCCTGGTTCTTTTGATATTATTTCTTAACAATTAACTGCATGAAAATCTAAAATTATCTCAAATTTACAAGTTTAATTTAAAAAAACCCTTTCCTAGAAAGAAAGAGCATCCTGGAAATAATGTGAACATTCCAGTACAACAAACTAAATAATAGCAATTGGTCCTGAGTAACTAAGCTCTTGTTAGGTTATTTAAATGATAAATGATAGGTTACATTTTTTCCCTCGAAACCTTAGGAAGTGTTAAAAACATTTTGAGTTTTTATTTGGGTATGTGAATATGTCTGGCTGCTAGATATGATTATTGGCTTAGATCTCTTTAAAAACGAGGTTTAAATGAACTCTTGTGATTTCTAAAAAGTTCAAACTTATTCCTAAGCTGTGTAATCACACTTCTCAGATCCTGTACATTTTATAAGGCTACTCTTTAACCTGATATAACCTGATAGTTAAACACCCAACAGCTTTGCTTTCATGTTGTAACTTCAGATAAGAAATAGATGTATTTCAAATTCCTTAGCTTTTAAGCCTGAAAGTGATTTTAGGAACTTAGTATTTTATGCTCAGATGCCTCTTCCGAGCATAAATGTTAAGCTCTTTGGACATGTTCCTGTGCAATTTAACGACTCTCTCTGCCCCCCAGGTTCCTTTGTGTGATTCCTTCAAGATCAGACGGAAACAGCAACCACATGTCATTTCAAATTACTGTGCAAAGAGCTCAAAAGCGCATGAGTACTTCTCTTGTATTATTTAGTTATTTTAAATATTTTATAAGGGAACTTAGTGGCATTCCAGAATTATCCTGAAAGCTGCAAACACAAATTATTCATTACTAAAACTTATGAAGACACCCTTTCAGTGTAGTCATTTGTGAATCTTTGGCTCCTGTTGTTTTAAATTCTAGCTAACACCCTCGGAGTTCCTGAAAGAAATGTCCCTGACCACAGAACAGAGACTGGCTAATACACGGTTGATGTGCCGACCACAGATCATCGAACTCTTAGATATGGGGGAAACAACACATCAAAAGGTAGATGCTTTCTGTTACACTAGCATATAATGTAGGCCCTGGCATAATGTGAACATTCTCGATCAAGCGTCACTAAGTAACAGTTATTGTGTCTGAGCTAACTAATCTTTTATTTGATTGTTTAATACATTCTTTTTTCTCCCTCTATTGACCTTGATATCTGTGATTTGATATGGAGAGAATTAAAATTAATTAGTAAAAATAACTTTTGACTACTCACATTTCTTTCTTAGCCACTTCTAGGCACTGTTGTTTACAGATTAAAGGTAGTTCCAAGAATTATATTAGCCAAGCCTAATTAAGTCATCATCTTAGCACAAGAAATCCCTTCTGACCTGAGCTGTCATCACTAAAAAGGAAGAAGGTGGAATTGCTTATTAAAGTAGGCACTTGTGTATTCTGGCTCACTTCCAATAACAAGTGTTTTCTTTTTTAGTCTCTAAAAAATAGTTATTTTAACATGTTTCTGTATTCTAATGTAAACCACATGTTCTAGGCTTTAAGAGCATATGATTAGAAAATAAAGTCTTTATTTCCCACTTTTTAACTCCTTAAATTTTTATGTAGAAATTATGGTATGAACCTCCACCAGTTGAACTGCTGGAGATTAACCTCCTCTCAAAGGGTTCCTCAGCAATTCCCAAGAATTTTTCAGAGTTATTTCCCATATGATGAGTGAGTCCCTGGGGCTCTTTTGCTCTTACTACAATACCATTGCCTCCCTTGTCAAGGATCTGCATAAAAATTTTGTCTTCCTCTGAGCCCTACTAGTTTCATTATTAATTATCTTTTCCATAAACATTCCCTGATTTTGAGAGCAGGGAACTTGGCTTTTCCCCAAAGCTAATTCATCCCAATTAAGGGCTATTTGCTCCTTTCCCATAGCATAACTAACACCAGACTATGTATATTGTTCTATGTATAATGCTTGTATTTTAATGTACTTTGACTCCTGTTATGAAGGATGAGGAAATAAGTATACTTTACTACAGCTCATATTCTCTCCACTCAGTTGGTTATTTTTACTTTATTTTTAGGAGTTTCATTTGTCCCTTAGTTGGGTGAGATTCATCCTCTACTTCTTCCTTCCTCCCCCCTCCCCCTCCCTCCCTCTCTCTCTCTCTCTCTCTCTCTCCCCCCCTCCTCCCTTCCTCCCTCCCTCCCTCTCTCTCTCTCTGTTTCTTTCTTTCTTTCTTTCTTTCTTTCTTTCTTTCTTTCTTTCTTTCTTTCTTTCTTTCTTTCTTTCTTTCTTTCTTTCTTTCTTTCTTTCTTTCTTTCTTTCTTTCTTTCTTTCTTTCTTTCTTTCTTTCTTTCTTTCTTCTAAGTTTGTTGAGAAGAGCTTATGGAAACTAATTCAATGGTTTTCTATGTTTGATAATACATTACCTTTATACTGAACTTCAGTTTTGTTAGGTATAAAATTCTTGGGCTACATATTTTTCCCATAAGAGCTTGTAGGCATTTTCCTCACTACCTTCTGGCTTTAAATAATGGTATGTCAAAGTGTGAAGCGAACTTGATTTTCCCCAAGATAAAGGATAGATACTTTTATCTTTTAGTTTGTATGCCCAAAGGTTGTTTATTCTTATTTAACGTCCAATAATTTTATTAGGATGAACCTTTATTTCATATCTAGACAGTTTTCTTGTATGCCATTTTTTGTTCTTTAAGAATATCAGTTACAAGTTGGACCTTCTTTGTCTGCCCTTCAAAACCTCTTTTATCTCCTTTAATCCATTTTTAACTTTCTGTTCATTTTCATTTCATTGTAATCACACACACCAGGCTATCATCTGAGTCCCTTACTTTGAGTTTTATATATGTATATTTCTCTTAAAACTCATTCTTAAGCTTGACAAGCTAAGTACAGCTGGGTTGTCTCATAGCATTTGACACAGTGTCTCTTTTTTTTTTGTACCTTTTTATTCACTTGTATTTCACATATCACACTATCTTGGTTTTTTCCCTACTTCAGTGATCGCTTTTTTCTTATTTTATTGATTGGATTGTTCTTCTTTTCCTGATCACCAAATGTTGTAGCTCCTCAGTACTTGGTCCTTGAACCTCTTCTTTCTCTTCTGAATCCATTCCTTAGGTGACCCATTCTAGGAACAAGGCTTTAAATTTTACTTTTTAAATTATTACTTTCATAATTATATCTCTTGCTATAGCCTATCCCTTGAACTATGGATCATACAATCATCTCATATATCTAGTTAATTTCTGGCTAACTTCATTCAATATTATGGTCTTTTTTGTTTTTATTTTTAAAGATTTATTTATGTTGTGTTTTGCAGTAGTTTATTCATTTTTGTTGCTGTGTAGTAGTTCATTGTATGACTATACTACATTTTTAAATCCATTTTACTGTTGATGAACATTTGTTTTTTTCCAACATTTTTACTATTATAGATGATGCTGTTATAACACTCTTGTACATATCTTATAGTGAGTATGTACACATTTCTATTGGACATATACATAAAACTAGAATATTTAGGTTATAGGCTATGCATATGTTTTACTTTCGTAGATAATTACACTTTTCTAAAGTATTTGTATCAATTTACACTCCCATTAGCTGTGTGTGTGAATTCCAGTTGCACTTACATCCATGCTAATAGGTACCATTGTCAGGCTCTTTAACAACACTTTATTGGGTGTATAGTGCTGTCACCCTGTGGTTTAATTTATAATTTCTTGATTGCTAATGAGGCAGAACATGTTTTCATGTTTTATTAGCCATTTGGATATCATTTTTTATAAATTGTATGTTTATGTTTTTGTCCATTTCTTACTGATTTTGTAAAAGATTTTCATAGATTCTGGAGACTGGTCCTTTATCAATTGTATTGTAACTAATCTCCCATGCTTTGACTTTCTTTTTTATTCCCTAATGGTTATCTTTTGATGAACATATATTTTAAAAAGTCAATATGACTTAATTTCCTAATATTTCAATTTGTTTTGTATTTTCTATGTCCAATTAAAAATTTTCATTCTTCAACATCATGAAGATATTCTTTTCAGTTTTCTTCTGAAAACTTTATTTTTTACCTTTTGCTTTGAGAGCTTTGATATACTTGTAATGATGTGTCATAGGGGTTAAGTTAATATTTTTCATATGGAATATCCAGTTAACCGAATACCATTTGTTGAAGAAAACATATCCCATTTGTTGAAGAAAACATATCCCTTTCCCAGTGCTTTCTAGTGTTACCTTGGTCATAAATCAAGTATCCATATATTTAAGGATGCTCTTTCTGGGTTTTCTAATCTGTTATATTTGTATTTACAATAAATCTTGTGCTAATGTCTAACTATTTTAATTACTAGATAAGTGACAGTATATGATATATAAGGTAATAATATAATTATAGTAAGTCTTGCTACCTGATAGAGCAAGTTCTTCTATTTTGTTCTTCAAGTAGATCTTGTCTATTCTTGGTCCTTTGCTTTTCCATATAAATCTTATAATCACCTTTTTAATTTCCAAAAAATTTTTGCTGGGATAATTTTTATTGTATTCCATGAATTTTTATATCAATTTAGGGAGTACTTGACATTATTAAAATATTGACTCTTTCAATTCATGAACATGCTACATTCCTGTATTTTATATAGGTCTTTTATAATTCTTTTTAGTAATATTTTATAGGGTTGTTTTTTTGATAAAGGTCTTGCACATCTTTTATCAGACTCATTCCTATGCATTTTAAGGTTTGGGATGTTATTTTAAATGGTATTGTTTATAAATTTTATTTCTCAAATGTTCATAGCTAGTACATACAAGTATAATTGTTTTTTGTATGTAGACCTTGATAAATCACTTATTAATTCTAATAGTTTATCTGTTTGGTTATTTTGAATTTTCTAAATAAGCACTTTTTTTCCTGAGGAAAATGACAATTTTGTTTCTTCTTAATCAATTTTAAATGTTAAATTTGAAATGTTGAATTTCTGAAATAAACCCAACTTAGTCTTAATATTATCCTTTTTAGATATTGTGGACTTTAGTTGCTAATGTTTTGTTTCTTTTTTTGAATCTATCATTTATGAGTAATGTTGACCTATAATTTTCCTTTCTCCTACTGTCTTTCTTAGGTATATGAGAGTTATGTTAACATCATTAATTGAGTTGGGAGATATTTAATTTTTGTTGTTCTTTTCTTTGGTAGAGTTTCTATAATATTTCAGTTGTACCTTCTTTAAACGTTTGCTAGAATTTGCTTGTAAAGTTATTCAGGCCAGAATTTTATCTATGAAAGGTTTTTACTTACAAATTCAATTTCTCTCATAGTTATAGAACTATTCCAATTTTCAATTTCTTGTGCTAGTTTTGATAAATTGTATTTTTCTAAGAATTTATACTTATCTAACTTTTCACATTTATTTATATAATACCCATTTGTTTTCTTTTTCTTTAGTTTAGCTTCTGTAGTAATGTCCCTATTTTCATTATTTAATGGGATCTTTGTACCTTCTGTCTTATTTTCTTGATTAGATTCACTAGGTATTTATCAATTTTATTAGTCTTTTTATTTTGTCAATTTTATTAGTCCTTTTAGACTCAACTTTTTGCTTTGTTCTTTCTATCGTACAGTTACTTTCTATTTCATTAATTTCTGGTACTGTTTTTGTTATTTCATTTTTTTATTTGTTTGGGTTTTTATTTGTTTTTAAAAAAATGTTTGCTATTGTTTTTCTAAATTACTGAGGTGGATACTAATATCTTTAGATCCAAACTGTGTGCCAAGGTGCCCTAGGGGATAGCCATGAACTCACAAGGCACCATGGGATATTCTAAATTTTGGCTAGTATACAAGCTAATAGCTTGAGGTAACTCAGGTTTTCAATTTTAGATCATACTATCTTTTTAGCTCTTTAGTACTTCCAAGCAGTTATTTGTTGATACAACTTTTCTTGTTATTCTCATAGGGGAATTGGTTCAGATTGCCTTATTCACCATTACCAGAAGTGGAAGTTTTGGATTAATGTTCTAATTAGCCGTATCTATTTATTTATTGGTTGGCTGTCTTTAATTGAAATCTTTCCCTTTGTAGTTATTAACTAGCTGGGCATTCCACTGTACCACTGTTGATGGCACCTACAATGCCATCAGAGTGGGGCCACCAACATGGCAGCCCACAGACTGGGCAGTTTTAATGGTTCCCAGGATCTTTTTAATGGTTCCTAATCGTTCCTGAGAGTTCTCTAGCTAAAGATTGGAGCTGCATCTGTCAAGCAATGTTGACAATCTCTTCAAAAGTGTTATTTCCACTGTGCTTAATATTTTTCTTGCTTCTTTCTGTCTTGGGGTAATTCTTTAAGAGCTTTTATGATCAGGGCAGAGGTAGGAGGTACTACCTCACTTCAGGCCTGTCTGTTCTGAATGGCCAGTTTTACTGTACTACTCAGATCCTTCCAGCCACTTGTTGCTTTGGTGATGTCATCTCCTACCTTTTTTGGAGACAGGCTCAGGTGGCTGATTTTGAGGGCCAGCCAGGGCAGATGTGGCACTGACTTCCCCACAGGTGCACCTCAAGTGTATGACTTTGAGCTCATTGGGGTCAAGTTCAGCGGCATGGTGGAGGTGGCTGGTGTCAGATGAACCTGGATTCAGGATGACAAGAAAGTTGCACCTGAGCCGCCTCCAAGCTGAAAGCTGAAAGCTAGCCTCTATTTTTTTAAACTGAGGACTAAGACTTCTACTTTTTTTGTATTTAAGAAGTTGATGACAATCTTACCAATTATAACAATTATTGTTTATAGTAATTACCCCTTTTTGAGTGTTTCCTATGTTTAGTATTAATATCCACAGATTTATATAGTGTTTTCCTATCTTTCCCAGTTATTTTTGCTGCTCTGTGACTGTAATTAATTTACTTTTTCACCTGAAGTTTTCAGGAATTGACCTGGATCAGGCATTATTCCAGCCCTTTCCATCAGAAATTGTATTTCAAAACTATACTCCCTGTGAAGTCTATGAAGTTCCACTGGTATTGAGGAACAATGACAAAGTGAGTATGTTTGTTGCGATGGCTGTACCTTTCATGGGTATACAAGAAGGAGTTAAATAAAATGGGATCATGTAGGATCTTAGATAAGTTCTTTAATTTAATAGACTTAGGAAAATACATGAAAACATGCCCTATGACTCTAAGCTTAAGGAAGACAAGACTATGTTGGTTTGTTTGTTGCCCTGTGTTCAGTCTCAGGGCAGTGCCCAACAAACAGTAAATCCCCAACATGTGCACTAACGTTTTGTTGAATAAAAGATTGTCTAGAACTTCAATGTCATGAAGTTCTTAGTGTGACTAATGGGCTAGGCTTTCATTTAAGACAGGACGATTACTATTCATACTTACATACTTTGTATTAGAACCTCCTATCCCTAATTGAAGGTATAAACTCCACTCATGAATTGCAGCTGTTTAGCCAATGCATTTATATTCTACAAATTGAATTTTCTTTTAATTAAAAAAAATGGGCATCCCTTTCCCTCTTTTTTATTTTATTCTTTCTACTTCAGAAGCCTTCAGATTTTGACCTACAGATAGTTTTGGGCAACTTCTTCCACTATTTATACCTTGTCTTTTTGTGGTTGCAACTGAGGATTTATTTTTCATCCTATGCCATTTTCTTCAGAGATAAATTAGGGTTTATTTTAAGAAAAGGTATTAAGTGCCTAAAGATTTCCTTGGCATCTAATGATAATAAAAGAAAGAATAAGGCTGGAGGTCAGAATAGAGCACAGTTAAGTGTGAAAACTAATCAGATAAGGAGGAAGACATCTGAGATATGCTAAAATTCAGCTGTAAAGACAAGTAGGAATACTTACAGAGTCTAAGAATGTGGAGACAAATTCTCACTGTAAGAAAAAAAGGAAAATCACTAAAGACTATGCAAGAACCCAAGGCAAATGAGAAGACTTGCAGACACATTTGGAACAGTAGCTCATTAAATGAATCAGTGATGCCTTTCAGAGATCAGTGGGGTGATTCAGTGACAACAAGAGCAGACCCTGGAGAAAATGGTATATTTAGTTATTTTGCTGCAAGAGTGTTAACAAGAGAAGCTCATGGGATAGAAGCTAAAAGGTAGGCATAGAGAAGAAAAAAAACAAAACCCTGGTATTCAGGGTTGTGTTCCTAGACCTCAAGAGGAGATACACTACATAGACATTAGGATTCTCTCTTTTCATGTGTGGCTGCCAACTAATTTAGTTTTTCACTTCCAGTTCTTTCTTTCCCTTTTTATATTGCTTTTTAAACTTTTGTTCAAGTTTTATTAGGCTTTGAAAGTCAGAGAAGAGTTAGTCCAAACGGTAGTTTTAGCCATTTCCCCTTGGTCCTAAACAAGAAAGGATTTACAGTTGGTTTATATGGGCAAGTCAAGGATAAGAGGCGTATGTAAGCTTTATTTGCCAAAGGGCACTCAGCTCTCATGGATAACCCAACACCTCTTGGTAAGATACTGCTAGAGCGCTGGACCTCATGGAAGGAGGGTTCTCATCAAAGAAAGTCCAGCTAGCGACAAGCAGACAGATTCCTCTAGGCTGGGCAGACTTGTTTCTGGGTAAGTTACTTCCAGGACCCTTGCACTAGATGTCTCCCAGCTGCAGATTTTGGGCAAGTCACTTCCCTTCTCCAAGCCTTTGGGATAATAATAGCACCAACTTCAATAGGTTGTTTGGAATATTAAATGAGATAATGAGTGTAAAGGATTTGCTTGGTGCCTGTGAAATAGCAAGCACTGTATCATTAGCATTCCTTTTATTGCAGGGGCTATCTGAGATAGAGATGCTGCTCTAGGCAAGGCAAGCAGGGCAGTGGAATAAGACTTTAAAAGAATAAAACTTGTGAAGCTGTTCTGAGTCTGGCCTTAGGGATATTGCACTGCCCTCTTTGTTCTTGCTTCACAGTAGGGTTTTCTTAGGACAATCTCATGGAGAGAGAAGGTGGAAACAGGCTGGGACTTGTTGCTTGGTGAAGCTGTAGCACTTAGGGCAAGTGTCAGTTTTGTCATCTGTAGAATGGGCATCATAATGAAGCTCCAAGTGTATTATTATGAGAAGTAAGTGGTATGTCCTGTACAATGATGGCTCATAGCAGGAATGCAGTAGGTGTGATTTCTCCTCCCAGAGCAACTCTCAGATGTTGGGAAATCTAGCTTAACTCCACTGGGTGAGTGGGCTTTTAGCAGTTCCTTTTTTAAGATAGTCACATTTAAATAATAAAATGAACAAAGACTTGCAATAACAATAAAATGAGTAATAATAATGTTAGTAAAAATCAAAGCTAAAATGCACTGAGTGTTTACTTGGTGTAAGACACTGAGATAAAGGTAGGTACTGTCATCTCCTTGTACAGTTGATGAAAGTAAAGTTCCGGCCTGACCAAGGTCGCAGGGCTAGTAAGTAGTAGATGGAGAACTCATGTTTAACTACAAAGCCTGTGCTTTCTCTTCTGCGTTTTTGCATGTGCAGTGTTATTACTGTATCTTTTTCTTGCAGATACCAAGGATGGTGAAAATTGTTGAGGAAAGTTCACCTTACTTTAAAGTAATCAGCCCCAAGGATATTGGCCACAAAGTCGCTCCAGGAGTGCCGTTCACATTCCGAGTCCTCTTCACTCCGGAGGAGAACAAGGTGACAGCAGTGCTGGCAAGAAACTGGTTGAATGCTCTCACTAGCAGCTTGTAATTCTGAACATTTTTGGAGGTGGCGGTATTGGTTTTGGTACTGCTGGTACTGGTGTTGGTGTTGGTGTTGTTAGTGGTTCTGTTCATTGTATTGGGGGTAGTGGAATTGGTTTGGTGGTGGTCATTGTGTTGTTGATGGTTTTGGTGCCGGTGGTGGTGGTGGTGGTATCGGTGGTGTTGGCGTCATTATTGTTGGTGCTGGTGGTGGTAAAAGAGGCGATAAGGCTGGGTGAGACGAGGGGACTGCATACCACTGGAGATGAGAAAACAATTGCCCAGGAGTGCTGAGGGCTTCTGCGAGCTGTAAGTAGCCAGGATATAAAGAAGGATAGTCCTTCTGAATGACTTTCTCTCCCCTCTTCCCCAGCACCCACATCAGTGCATTTATATTTGACTATACAGTGAGGGACACCAAAAAGGAAAAGTGTCCAGATGCAATGAGCTAAGATAAAGGATAAAGACTATGGCTTCTTGGAAGTTTTGGAGCCTAGTTAGTTACATTTCTATAGGAAAGAGATCCAAGATCCAAATATTGATCACAGTATCAGTCTCATTAATGGCAAGGAGTGTGGCTAGGGCATGAGGCCAAGAAGGGGTCTCCTCCTGCTCCCCAGTGCCTGGTGGACAGCTGGACCCTGGTGAAGGGCTGACCTGCCTGATAACTCCACCCAAGCACAGGCAGGGGTGGAGAAACTAGAGCTGAGAGTAGACCTGCCTGCTTTGCTTACCTCGTTTGTCTACAGGCAGGCTAGAAGCAGCCTGAGTTCAAAAAGAGGCCATTTCCCCTTAGCTGTGGGGAATCTTGCCCATTCTCAGGCTCTCCTCCCTTGCGGAAATTCTAGTTCCTCCCAGAAGGAAGGACCAGACAAGGGGGACTGAGGAAGGAGGCTTCCTCTCCAGCCCTTCTCCAAGAGCACAAAATTGTGGGTTGGGTTTTCCTCCATATGGGTCAAAGTGAGGACTTGCGGGGAGGAGGGAAAGGGTTTTACCTGCATGATTAAAGGCTTAAATGGGCACAACAAAATGTCAGGTTATATATAATGTTGATAGTGTGTGTGCTGATCTCTATTGTGCTATAATGGTTTGAATCAAAAGATCATGATGGGGACAGAGAGAGCTAGTTTTGAATTCCTGCTTCTCCATCACTGATACTTATTAGCTGGTGTCAATGTCATTACCAGTATTCCTGCTGCTATTGCTCTTCTTCCTACTTTCCCGGAGAGCAGGGATAAAGAATTTAATGCGATCTGCCAAGTATGTATCCCTGTAGTGAGTGGTTAGAAATTCCATTGTAATAATAACACTGTGGTTATTATTTTGCCACTTTGTAATATTACTATTTATTTCTTGGGTTGTGCATGGACCTGTCATTTTGTTGGGGATACTGTTGAAATAAATGAAGAAGTAAATCACTCCAGAAGTAATCCTTTTTGTTATATGTTATTGAAGTCCTTGTTTTTTCTTGAGGCTCCATATCTGAATACTAACTGAGAAGAGAACAGCACCTGGGTTTAGTTTGGGTGTCAAATTCCTACACTGACATTTCTGTAGGAAGCTGATTATAAGTCTAGGTGCGGCTTGAAACATAAAGCTTGCTGGATTTGAGGAGTTGAATTTCCTCAATTTTTTTTTCTCCGCTGGAGAAAATATGTCTTCTGTTGGATAAGTATTGTTCTCCTAGCAGGTAGCCTGACTGAGAAAAGGATACATGAAACTTTCTGAGGAGATGGAATGTTTTATATCATGGTAGACGTGTGGATTATGTGGATGAATTCATTTGTCAAGATTGTACATTTAATATTTATGCTTTCCAATATATCTAAATTTTATCCTAAAAAGTAGAGAAATGAAATGAATGGATTGAGGTATAGACAAAGTCAGAATTACAGAATATTAATAATTGTTGAATCTGGGTGATGGATATGTGACATTTGTTATATTATTCTGTTTTCTTTGTGTGTGTTTATATAAACACACACATATATATTTTAGATTTTATTTATTTATTTTAGAGAGATGGGAAAGGAGGGAGAAACATGGATGTGCAAGAGATACATCAATTGGTTGCCTCTCGCACGCCCCCAACTGGGGACCTTCTAGTTTGCAAGCTGGCACTCAATCCACTGAGCCACACCAGCCAGGGCTCTTTGTATATGTTTTAAGTTTTCCCTAATCAAAAACTTAAAGAAAAGAGCATTTTGATTACTGCTTATCTATACAAAAAATAAATAATTTAAATGTATTTTAGGTATGCTTGTATTTACTTTATAAATATGAAATATAGCATTCTCATTGAGGATTACTACTGTATTTTGTGGCTGCTTATTTTATTCCTAGTCTATTTATTCCTTTTTGCCATTCCATTTCACCAACCTTACATATCTGTTAGAAAACACCTAATTAAAATTTAAATGTTCTTTTACTCTTTCTTCTTCTAAGTATTTAAAAGTTATCAGAGGTTTATGCATGTATGTGGAGGCATAAAGTGAGAACAGTGGCTACCTATGAAAAATTCAGTTATCCAATTTTGGATACATTAAGATTTTGTTTTGGATTTGGGCTCTAAGCTATAACTAATTTACAGAATTTGTTTTTCGAAGGACATAGTGATTTCTCCTTTTGCTGATGGTCTAAGACCGATGGTGTGTGTTTGGGGAAGGAAGCTCTTGCTTCTAGGTTTGGTTTCCTTCTTCTGCAAAGATCCTGTTTGCTCTTGCACCATCAGCAGGGCTTCACCATCAGTAGTTTTTCCAGTCTCTGGACATCTACATTCACTCTTGCTGTTGGAAAGCCAACCAGGCTGTGCACAGAATGACCAGCGAGGGTTAGTCGTGCTGTCTTTGGTGCTGCTCCAGAATGCAGCAGAGGGCTAACAGTCAAAGTTATTTTAGGGAAAATAAAAGTCAGTCTTTTCAGTATGTCACTTTTTCTTCAGTTGGCCAAATTGACAGCCACTGTACATATGTATTTTCCCTCGTTATCCCCTGCTGATCTGTGCACACGCTATTCTCGTTTACCCTCCTCACATCTGGAGGGTGAGATGTGTAAATTGCAGCATGCCACAGTTTAATAAGCCAGTCCCCTCTCAATTGGACTTTCAGCACCCATGTATATTAGCACGTTGAAGATGATAATGCAAGTCACATTTTTTCGCCTGTCATCTATTAATCTGGCTTCCTGGGGATTTAACTTGTTAAGAATGCCAAATACCCAGATAACAGGTGCAGCAAATTTACTTTGGCTTTCCTTATCTCTTCTTCTCGCACAGACTTTAAAAAATGATTGGGTATGTTATTAATCTAATAATCCCAGTGTACATGTCATGTATGGTAGAAATATAAGTCAATATTGTCATAACACTTTAAAATTCTGTAGCCTGGCATTTTTCTTGACCTGCTATATTGATAGTAATATCAATATTAAAAAGAAAGTGAAAAATATATGGCTTTTGTAAGAAAGCAAAAAATGGGTACTTCCTTGGGCTTAAGGAAGCACCTGTTTACTACAGTGTTATCATAAGGAAATCGCTGCAGTGAATAAAACAAGAAGTGATGCAATTTTATTGCTCAGTTATGTTTTAAGAAGACATCTAATTTGTTGTCAAAATAGTTTCCTTGATTTGTTACTATCAAATTTAAAAAATTATGGCCCAAGAATAGTAGAAAAATGTGAACATATGTTATCTAGGTATACAACAATAATGAACTACATTACCACCATTTTGAATTAAAGTTTAGATATCATAAAATTTTCCACAATCAACAATTTTTGTTGGCAAAAAAATTGGTATGGATTTTGTTTTCTTCCTTCCTGGAATTAGCTTTCTATAGTTCTGTCTGGGTCACTCCTGTAACCCTGGCATGTGCCTTGCATAGTGCCTGGCACATAGGATGTGTGCAGGAAATATTTGTCAAGTGAGATAAATAAGTAAAAGTTAGTTTCAAGAAAATACAAAGAAGTTTTTTCAACTTGAGAATGACCTACAAATGTTAAAATCAAAAGCTTTTAAAAAGAGCTCATATCTTTTTGTGCTGTGGATGTATCAGGCATTAACGTTCTTGTCATTTCAACCAGGGGAAAGATGTCTAAGAGTCTTTCTAAGACAAGTGTTTCTCACCATTTTGTTTCATGTCATCATTGAGTCACATCTCTACTTTTTAGCTTTCTGGACTTGATCAATATCATTTTATAATGAGCCTAATGTGATGATGTTGGGAATTCTCTTTGTGAAGAACTCTTGATACTTTACTACCCAAATAAAGATATTAAAAATGGATAATACTCTCTCACTCTGTGCCAGGCCCAGTTTTATAAGCTGGGATCCTTTGGAAAACAGAACAAGTTTTGGCCTTCCTGGAGCTTATGTTCCACTATATATAAACAAATAAATATGTAATTTAATGTCAGATATTGACCTGACAGAGAATAAAGAGTGATGAGAGAGGATCCTGTTTCCTTCCAATGTGAGGACCAGGGAAGACTTCTCTGATTGAGGTAACCTTTGAGCAGAGAACTAAATTAAGCCGAGCAACTACCTGAGGGAAGACATTTGTCTGGGAGAGGGAGCAGCAAGTACAAAGGCCCTGCAACTGAAGCATGCTTGGCAACGGGCTCAGGGAGGTGCAAGAAGGCCAGTGTGGCTGCAGTAGAGGAAGCTGCTGGGAAAGTGGAGGCGACAAGGTTGCAGAGAGTTAAGAGTCTCAGGAATCACTTGATGTATGATAGGAAGCCATTTTAAAGTATGCATTAAAGTATTTTTATTATGGAAGCTTTCACTCATATGTAAAAGTAGAGAGAATAGACAGTATAGTAAACTGTCATCACCCAAATTTTCAAGTTATCAGTGTAGGAACAATTTTACTTCATCAATTCTGTTCCCTGCCTCAGGGGATTTGGAAGCAATTCCCATATATCACATTATTTCATCTAGAAACACTTCATTCTTTG